CTCCTCCGCGGTGAGCGTCTGGTCCTCAATCAGCTCGAAGGAGGTTGCCGAGGTTGCCGAGGAAGCCATTGCTTGATCGGGGTTAGTTCGAGGGTGTTCAAACTCAAATCTTTTTCACACAAATTGGGTTCAAAGAACCCAGGGCAAAGCTTGAGCCAAAATGGCATGCGCCATTATGGTCAAGCATTTCAAACACAGTTCATGTTTCCACATGCGTTTCAACATTAACAAAGGATTTCATTGGGGGAAGCCCCCCCCCCCCCTCACACCAACCCCCCCCTCCACACCGACACCGGACTAGGCTGCCCACAAGCCCTCCATCGCATCCTTGACCTCGTGGTCCCACATCTTCTTCAGCGCCGGGGTGCTCGCCTGGCGCTCTTTGATCAATGGCCAAGGTTCATATGGAGAGTCTCCAACACCCAGGCCCTCTCCTAGGTCCTCCAGATTTGAGAGGCTAGAATAAGGCTACCCACTTTTTTCCTTTTTGTCTACTTTAGGGGAACCCTCCCAACAAAAAAGTTGGCAACAAAAAAGCGCTACTGGTAGACCTAGTCTCCTTTTTGGGCCTGTGTCAAAAGACGGGGGCCGGGACAACGTGATGGGTTTCCTTTTGGCCTCCTTCAACCTCCTTCAACCCCACAAAGGGGTACCCTCAAAAAACAAAACACACACACAGACACGTTTACCAAAATGCGGCGAATCTTAGATGGTGACTTCCTGGCTTCATAGAGCCTAGCTCTAGGAACTGCTTCAGAGCCCCGTGCTAACCTGGGATGTCCACTATCCCAATACTTGCTCTCTTCAAAGGAATTCTTGTGGTGTCACAGAACCTGGCTGTAAAATCCAAGTGTCCACAACAATTGAGCGCGAGATGCTCCAAGGCTCAGATCTCAGATCAGATTAGTCTCAAAGACCAAGCAAGGTGAAACCTTTGCTGGGTGCTGTTGGGATTCTTTGCTTAGGTGTCCGCCGAGGTGTTGTCAGGTTCCGCCAAGCTAAAACTTTGGGTGGAAACTAGCATCTTCTCAATGTCAAAGCCTTGGTTTGGTCCAAGGGGTAATTCTACTTCCCAAGCAATAAAGCTAAAACCCCTGCATTTCCTATTGGCCAGAAGGCCATAGGTCACATCACTGCAGTTGATCCTTCCAGAAAAACCTCCTCGAAATAAGGCTTTTTTTTTGGGGGGGGGGGGCCACAGAATGGTGATCGTCCTTTTGGTTTCCCTTCACACCAACCAAAAGAGGGTCCCTCAAAAAAGACGAGCCGCCCAAATGGCTGACGAAAAGTCAGTCCGAGCGTCATCCACTTTCAGGGGCTGGCAGTCTTCCACCTCAAAAAACCGCCTAAACAGCAAGCCGAGGCACAAAGACCTCCTGCAGCTTGGGGTGCAACTGCTCCAGGAAGACTTCCTCCAAGGGCTTCCCTGGCGCACAGTTTGGCCCTTGCAAGGTTTGGGGGAGGTGCCTGTTGGGTTGTGGTTTTAAAGGGACACCAGAAGGACAACAACCATTTTATATAGGGCACCCGAAAAAAGAGGAAACAAACACCCCCCCAAAACAGCCCTCCAACTTTTTTCGAGCCAAACGGTGGATTGGTCGCTTTGAGGTTCGGCGCAACTTTGCTGGAGTCGCTCTGTGCAACGCGAACCCCTGTGCTTGTGCTTGATCATCTTTTGGCCTAGCAATCGAAAGCAACCTTTGTGAAAGTCGTGGAGGAGCTGCAACATTTGGGTGTCCTCTTTTTTTCAGGGTACACTTTGTTGGTGGTTTTCAAGGGAAGCCAACAGGACAAACGCATTTATTGATTCTATGCATATGCTCTTTGGTGGTTTTTATTTTTTTCTGTGGGGAGGGGAGGGCGCGGTGTAACGTCTCAAGCAGCCAGTGGGGTCGGGCAGTGGACAAAACCTGCGTCCCCGACTTGGTGTGTAAGGGAAACCCCTTCTGATTCACCCCCCCCCAAAGCCCGGAACGGTCATCACCAGAAAAATAAAATAACATAAAAATCGCTCAAATCCGCTTCGCACCCTGGGCACCAGTTGCCATACATGAAGCCCAGCTCTTGAGCGACACGGTTAGCTTAAAGTAGACGCAAGTTTTAAGGGACCATGTTTATGCAAAGTAAGTACTTTGTATTTGTATATGGCTGTGGCTCAAAAACATGTACCAACATGGCACCTTGGTAAATGGAAACAGAGACTAAAACCTGCGTAACCTTTGCTCTTTAATTTTGAACCGCACCCGTATGTTATGAACACAACAAGTTGTCCTTTCATTCTGCGGGTGCTGTTGTCTCCCAAGGGCAGCTGGCAAGAAAGGACCTTCATGCCTGGTCAGGCGTGAAAGTCTTTCAGCTGCGTGAAAGTATGTGCCAAGCGCACAGGACAGTCACTGCCCGACCCGAGCAAGGGGCCTGGGGCTGCACACAGAAGCGCGTGGAAGGGGCCCTGCGGGTGAGCTGCAGTGGAAAAGGGGCTGGCAGCTGAGAGCGACCGGCTCCGGGGCTGAGGCGAAATTGGGCGCAACATTCCTCACAGGATTCGAATTCTCGCCGCGCACCTGCTGGCAAGTCCCGGTGGAAGATCTGCGACGCCATGCCTCGCAGCGCCGAAGTCGTCGTCCCATGAATAAGCGACAGGAGGTGCTTTTGAGGTCAGCAGACAGGCCTAAACAAGGGTTGCAAGGGGTACCTTACAACCGAATTTCATTCTGATTGGAGGAGTACGCCATTAGTACTTGCTTGGCCCCTTATATCCCCTTATGTTACAAAACACTGGCAAAACCATCATGTTGGGGGTCCCTTTCCCTGAACCAGGCGCACTTAAACGTCACTGTCCCAAAGGAAAGCCACAATCATTCCACAGCCTGACACTTTTCTGGCCCATTTTATTGTGGGGTTGACGAACATTTGGTAAACCACCGTGTCAAAATGACGGATCCCCCAAACATGTGGTTTTCTTGTAGCTTCACGTGGCACACGCGCACCAATTGCTCAAACCAGAACCGGGTGAGTGATTACTTGCAGCTGACATCTCTTCAGAAGCGAGCCATGCGGAAGATGAGTCAAAGTTTGATGCCGCGCTAGGCATCAAGTGGGTCTGGAAATATCAAAACATCACACATTCTCTTTGGGTTATTTTCGGGACGATCAACAATTTCACAAGGCCCAACGTTGTCAAAGAACCCTTTCATTCCCGATTGGTTCGACGAATCCGGCCCACTTTGTGTCCGACTCCCGTTCAGAGGAGGGCTCGCGTTGGTTGGGGGAAATGGGCCCACGCTTAAGTGGGATGCCCAGTTGTCACTCAGCAACGGGAGCTGTGTAACCATGATATGAACCACGCACATGAACCCCTTGCTTGTTGGTTGGCTGACCAACAAGTTCTGGCTCAATTATGGAAAACAATCTGCCTAAGAAGAGCAACATGGCTATGGATTCATGCACAAGTCCATGCGAACAGTTTTTGAAGAATGAACACGTCCCGCTCATAGAGGGTCCTTTGATGTTGCTTCTAAATGGAGTCGAGCGATATTTCCTAGAAACGGTCTACCTGATACAAGGGGGCTATTGACAATTACTGACATTTCCCTATGATCCGGTCCTAACTTACTCGCGCTGGCGCCCAACGTACTCCATACCTTGACTCCAAGCTACTGGTCGACATGGCGCCGGCGACGGGAAGCAAGCGGATCGCGGTTGGGTCGTGCGCAAGAGCAGGCCCTTTGAGCTGGCCAAGGCCCTTGATAAGGGGCGCCTTGCAAAAGTAGCCAATTGATATGGCCCCTTCTTGGAGAAGATCGAACAGGAATGTGCTTTAAGCAATGGTGGTTGCCAACCTTCTTCTTTTCTTTGGCCAGCAGGCTGCAGGTGAGGTGTCCAACTCACATCAGGTATACATGGCTCACAGTATTGAAGCATGGGAAACTAACCAACCAGCTATTCCATTCGATACAAATGAGTTGGGCAGCCAAACTGGTATGTTGATGAAATGTCACGGGCCTCACGGTAAAGGGCACGTTTGACTCGGTGGCTGCTGTGTTGAGCCAGAGCTCCGGCGAATGGCTTCCAAGCATCGTTCTGAGCTGGGGCTCACATGGGCTCCGGAAAGGGTGCAACCCAAAATCCCCCAAAGCCAGCGAACAGAAATCCAAGAAATGGAACACTGGACCAAGGCTTCCTTTCTTTGGTCCAAGAACTATGACCCCTTGAATCCTTCGTGGAGTCCGCCAGGCTCTGAATCTTCCGGGTACGAACCTTTCATAGGGAACCAAGCATGGGCGAAAGGGGCGTGATCTGCGATACCGTGGGCCTTTTCTGCTTTGTAGTCCTAGACTAACAGTTGTTACCAGAAACAAACAAGAGCTTCCTGAATCAATATCTAGAAGGCGTTTGCCTTTTTGGACGCCCCGAGCAGTTTCAACCGAGAGCAGGCCCTATATTGAACCCTTCCATGTGGCCAGGGCAAGCAAGCCCAACGAAGAAAGTAACCTTCATTGGTTCTTGTTGGCAAGCCAACCCCAAGGTCGCAGCGGACCGCCTTTTAGCTGTTGAACGGCAAACACACAGAATCGCGCCATATTCATGGCATGACATGTGCGGGTTGATTGACACATCACGGGCAACCTTGTTCGCCAATCTCACATCAGACGGAGACATGATTGGCCGGCACCAGGTATGCAAGATGTCTTCCCACACCATGTCTAGGGATGTTTGTTTTGGCACGTACCCTGTATAACTCATGTATAGGCACTAATTTTGGGGTATGCCTCGTTGGGGCATGCCAGTTGGCCCTTCGACCATGGCAAAAAGCTCCACCTGGTGCTTGTTCATGTCATATCACTCAACCCACCGACTAATCAACCAAACTGTAAAATCCTTCGATGAAACCAGCAGACTAGCAATCAATCAACCAACCCAAACCAAACATAATCCATCATCAATCAAGCAAACTATCAAATCAAACCAAATCTAGATTCTCTCCGCTCTGGAGCCCGGGCACGATTGCGGTCCTCTAGGTCGGCAATCTCCGCCTGGCAATGGGCAGGCTGGCAATCAGATTGAGCGCCCACTCAGATAACCCAGAAAATCGAGCTGCGTTTTTTTCGAGGCGCTTTTCAGGTCGGGTTGAAAGAGAGACCAGAAGGGAAATCTGGAGATTTAGAATGAGTTTTTGTTTCTTTCTTTTTTTCTGGTTGCCTTTCCTTTAAACCAGCAAATGCTACCCTCAGAGAACACACCCACCCTGTTCTGCAAAATATAACCCCAGCATCCGAACTTATCATGGCCTGAACAAAACACGGGGGGGGGTGAATTTGGGGGGGATGTCTGGATTTCATGATGCAGGGCTTGGGCTTGTGTGCTTACCTCGGTTCCGGTCTTTGCAACCAGCGTTGCTCTCAAAAACCGGCCATCTTCCCTGAAGGCCTCTGCGGTTTGTGTTTTTCTTCAACACATAATCAATTAGAGCAGGCTGCCCTGAGGGGGAGCGTTTGGATCCTATAGTGCTCTCTAAATCGGAACATTTTTCAGAAAGGGCGATGTCTTCTTGGTAAGCTCCAAGTGTCTTGAATGTTTTTGGCTTCGCTTCCTTGCTCCCTTGCTACAACTTCCCGTGGGTTGCAACTTTTCGAATTAAACGCTGCAAGTCAAGAAGTGTACGGGCTGGGAACATCTGGGGCTTTCGCCAGGTGAATTGAAGCACCATTCTCCAATAGCTCTGCTTTGAAGCCCGGGCAATAGTTGTGCGCCTGGTGGTAAGCTGCCAACTTGGGTGTTCAAGCTAAGATACGTAGGTCATAACCATGGTAAGGAGACGATCACCCTAGTTCCCTAGTTACCTTACCTGACGTTGGTTGACCCACTAGGTCCTCCAGTAGAGAGGTTAGAATAAGGGTACCCATCTTTCCTATTTTAGTAGGGGAAACCTCCTCCAAAAAAGGGTAAAAGGGCACTACTGGGGGACCTAGCCCAAGAAAGGGGTTGGATGGCGAGGCTTTGGCGTGATGAAGCCGCCACCTCAACTCGGAGCGAGCGCCTCCAACCTCCGCGCTGTGGCGGTGGCGCTGTGCGCTTTGGCGGTGGCAGACACGGCGTCACCGGCGGCGGCTTGGGCCTGAGCGGGTATCAGGATTCGGAGGAAAAATGATTCTAGGGTACCTTCCCCATTCTTTCCAGGAATCCTTCTTTCTAGAAAACCTTCAGAAACCCAGGCAAACGGCTGGATGTTGAAAAGAACGATGGTTGAAAATAATGGGGAATCAACCCCTAGAATGCTTGGTGCATCCCCTGACGAGGTGTGTTTACTTGATGCCCAAAATTGAAGTTTTTGCCCCATGGGCGGCTCTTCAACATGGGGGTCCTTTTGGGGCTTCCTTTCAATCACGAGGCGGTGCATTTCCAATTTTGGAACACCCCACAAATGGAACGGGAGTTCTACACAACGGGACGGGGGGAGGGGGGGGTGCGCTTCTCTCATTGATAGCAAAATTCCTCAAAAAACAAAAAGAACAGTTGAATTGTTTGCTTCGACATTGAACACCGTGTTTTCCAAAACCCCCGTTGCCCTGCACCAGTGTTTTTATTTCCAAAAAGGACCTCCTCTCCGCGGCTGCCCATCTTGAGTCCAGAACCCGGAGCCACCAAGCCGGGAAAAGGCCACCCCGAGAATGGCTTGGCCAACCAAATTTAAGGTGTTGCAGCCGGGGGGGGGGGGTCAGATCAATTTGGCGAAGAGTTTCCCTTTACCGTTCAAAAGGGGGTTTTTTAGGGGACCCCACGGTAAATCCTCCGAAATCAACCCTACCACTATATGACCCACCAACACCCCTCCCCCCGGCTGGCTTCAATGGCAAAAAAACACTTGGGTTTGCACTCACACCAGGGAATTGGCAGGCGTATCCCCTCACCAACCCGTAGGCTAGCTGTGTAGGTGATCACTCAACTTGATCTGCCAACTAGGAAGTCTTAGTCAAAAGCTCGGCTTTTGGACTGAGTCCGAAGGAAGCCAAAACGCTTCATCGCTTCGCCTCAAAGGCTGAGAGGACAAAATCCCTGGAGTTCCCTTCGAAGACATCCCCGGGTCGAGGGAAATTTTCAGGGGTTTCAGGTCTGGATGCTGATATGGCTATGGGTCAAAACCCCCCTACCCCCAGTGAACATCCCAATCCCCACTAAAAAAGACAATTCATATTGCCATAATGGTACCATTGGTGTTGACCCACGGCCATATACCACCAATATGTAAGGCAGTATAAGGGGTATACAACTTCTATACCTCCAGGACCCCTGGGGGGGTAGAAGAGAAACAACTCTGGTCAGCTTCTGACTTTGTCCAAGTCATCTCCAAGCCAAGTGCAAACCACACACAAAGTCAGGTGAGAACCGCTCCGCGAGCCCTCACGCCTCTGCCTCGCAATGCCGCGCGGTGCACAAGGCGCTGGCCGCCTGTTGACATCTCTGAGACCCATGCCCTTGTTGCCCCATGGAAATCCACTGGGCATCAAGGGGCCCTCGAAGAGTTCGTTTTCCTTTTCGGCCAAAAGAGAGGCAGTCGTGAGCCTGGTATTCAGTACTCTTGTCCAGCCATTCGAAGCTTGACATTGTGTCCGAGCACATCAGCATCTTAGGGATACAGTACACGGCACCAAACCAACACAATAAAACACGAGGGAACGTGAGTAAAGAGTCTTATTGAATTTCAGGGCCCTGCATTGTGGGTAATCGGCACCATTTGACGTCCAACTGGTAAGCTCGCAATTAGTGAAATCAACGCAAGGCAAAGCAGCTATCCAAGGGGCATTCTGGGCCATCAAACCACTGCGTTATATGGGCCTCATAGTGAGCATACCTGACAATCTCCAACCAACAACCAAAAAACAACAGGGGACTGCCCAGAACCGACAGGAATATCGCCCGCTCATATCCTAAAAAGGCCTGTCACACAGGTACAACTTTGGGTGTCATCTTTTCGATGCAATACCCTGAACCCAAGGTTTGACCACATATTTGGGTATGGGTCAAAATTAAACCACCAGGAAATGGACCGCAGGAATTTTAGTCCTTGGTTCCATTTTCCCTCTATGTGGATAGTAAAGGGGATAACTAAATCAAAACCCCAAATGTCTTTGCGAGCGATAGATGACGAGGAATGGCAACTTCACCTTCCGACCCTCAGCCACATCACCCCAGGAACTCACCAAACGTCGCTTCCAAGGGAACAACCTTACATTTTGTTGTTCAGTTCCGGGGCTCAGCGAGAATTGCTAAAAAAAGAAAACAGATTCGGAGGAGACCCAAAAGTACTGAGAAGCCTTGGTAAGCCCATCCATCCACAGTTTCTTCATGGTTCTGTTTGGGATGGCTCAATTTGGTAACTTCCCCCGAACTTAATTGGCCCACATTCGCACAACTGCATGTTGAGATTCTGCTTCATATTGAGTCTAGGCCGCCTTTTTTTTGCGGGGATGGTCCATCCAGATTCTTTTCGGGTCCCGTTTAAGGTGGTTTTAAGACGGGTTTAGGGCAATTTTGGGTGGGTTTGAGGTGGTAGTAGGGTAGGCTTAGGGAGGGAACACATCACCACAAAGGAATTGCGGCAAGTTCATTTTAACTCACTTCATGAGTTGACTGGCCAAAAACAAAGAAGATCCTTGCAACTAAAATCAATTTCCCAAAGTTTTCAAAGTCCATTTACTCACAGAGTGAGTTAAGGGGCGCTGGCAAGTTCAAAAAACAACTGCAAAAGAGCTGTTTAGTTTTCTTCGTGCCGAATATGAGTAGGCCGCTGTACGTTTTGTGGAAAAGCGAATAGGACAATGCATAGGATCACTACCCTCCCTCCCACTAACATGGCACCTACGGAAAGGTTCCTGGTAGATGATTTTCCTCTTGAAGGGACCCCCTGTCAGGTGCCATAGTGGGAGACAGGGTAAATATGATCTGGGTGAACTAAAATAAATCTGAAATAAGGCGGTTTGGGGGGCTGCTCCATAAACCACCATTTGGGGTGAATTCGGCCGTGTGAGGTCGTTATAACTCGCCCAGACAATATGGACCGCGACCAGACTTGCTTTTGATCTCCCTTTAAACACCCACGAACAGCGCCGCAGCGCCCTATTATTTCCAAGTTGACTTTCGGTTTGACCAAAAATCGATCTTATCCCAAATTCCCCGAGGAAAACCTGCCACTCGCCAGCGCCCGAGAATCGTCGAGGAGCGGCGAGACTCGTCGCCTGGTGCTCGGCCTGCCGCAGCTGCGCCTCGGACCGCAGCCAGGCCTCCTCCTGCGCTGAAGTGGGCCGTTGGTCGGGGTTGGGGGAGGGGAGGGTGGAATGGGCCGTTGGTGGTCGCCTTTCGACTTTTATTACTCATTTATTTTTTGTTTGGGGGGGGAGGGTCGGGGGGGTTGGGGTTGGGGTTGGCCGATTTTATTATGATTATTTTTGGGTGGGGGGGTTGGGGGGGGTTGGGTGGGGGCGGGGGTGGAAGGTTTGGGGTTGGCCGAGTTTTGGGACTCAACGGTTGTCTGTTCTTTCTGATTTTTGAGGGGGAGGTCCACTTTGGAACCAGGGGCAGTCTTGGGATACAAGGTTGTCTTTTTTGCCAAAGCACTCAGTTTTGGGCCGTTTATCGATTTGGTTTTCCTTTGGCGCGGGGAATGGTTTTGTTCAGACTCGACAAAGCCCGGTGAATGGATTTGCAGAAATCGAACGACTTGACTTTCTTTGGCCTCGAATTTCTGAAGTCCCCTCACACGCAGGGCTCAAAAGGCTGCAAAATGCCCGCAAGGTCGCTGTCTTCAAACCCTCTGATGCGCGCAAAGTGCAGAAACTCTTCAATTTAGGCGTTGTCTGCAAAATAGGTAATTTTTGCTCAAGATCAAAAAACTACAAGCAATAAGTACACGTTGGAATTTCCAGGCATATTCTTATCACAATTTGGAAGCTTGGGACACTAAACATTATGGTTGCTCGTTACCCTGTTCTCCGAGCGTTGGAAGCTGACAGGGCTTTCGAAGACAGTCCTCTTGAAAGGGCCCCCCTCCGGAAACGTGGCCTTTTTCTCCCCCTCTCCGTGTTTTCCCTCGCGCCCACAAAGCTCGTTGGACGAGTTTTGCCGAGCTTTGCCCAGAGGAAAAGCCCAGAAGGAAACTCCGGCTTTAGAAGGATAGTTTTGAAGCTACCAGGGTAGTTAAAATTCCCCAAACATCACAAAGCACAGGCAGACTCAAATTGGCCTGTCCCACAGCTTCTTGAGTGCATTTGCCAAGTCCAGACTTTTAGGTTGCCACTGAAAACCAGCCACCACACGGTTGGGCGCTTCGCCAGACGCACCATGCCACGCCAACCGAGTCCTACGTCCGACGTCCTCGCCTCCTCCTCCACGTAGCGCTCCGAGGCCTCCTTGGCGCGCTGCAGCGTGGCCACCCGCAGCCGCAGCTGCTGAAACTCCTCCATCCAACTGCGCGTTTCTCTGGGTGGCTCCTTCTTGAGGGCTTGGGTGGCTCGGTGCCTGCTTTTCCTTGTGGCTTTACTCCTAGCTCCATCCAAATGCGTGGGTGGCGCGTGTTTCTGGTACTTTTCTTTTGTGGCTTGATGGGAAACCACAAGGGAGGGTGGCGGAGTCCTAAAAAAAATAAGAAACACCCGTGTCGAGCGAGCAACTCAGAAACATGCTCCATCATGGGGGGGGCCAAAAAATGGGGGCCACTTGTTGGTATCACCTTTGGCCTTGGCGGCACGCAATGGCGGCAGCAGTCCCACTGAAAGAGCCAAATTTTGGACCGCCCCCCCCGGTTGAGATTTGGAGGTAGCTCCTTGGGGGTTCTGGTTCTGGAGGGGCATTGATCACTGTTCACAAACCGGACATCCCCATGCACAAACACACTCCCTTGGGGGGCAAACTAAAATAGCCCAAAACTGAGGGTGTGTTTGGGAGGGTGGTGTGTTGGGGGGTCGTAGGAGCAGTTTGACCAATTCGCCCATTGGTTCTTGGCAGCCTTTTTCTGTCGCTCAGTGCTGTTCCAAAGACCCGATCGGCACGCTATTGCTTAAATCGCTCTCTTAAAATAATAATAATAATAATAATAATAATAATAATAATAATAAACATGAAAAGTGTACCCTCAAAAAACACAAACCCACATGTGGATCCTGGTAAAAGAAAAGACGCAAGGACATCAAAGCCATTTTCTGCTCAATTCTTGGTCTTTCAACGGTTCGGAGCGACCCCGATGAGACAATTCCAGCTTGCTTCTCAAACCTTACCTGGTTTGGGGTTAAGAACCCGACAGCCCCACATGCTGGTAATGCAAAGGTGCAACCAAAATAATCATGGTTCATGGTTTATATATTTAGGTCTCACGAAAAATCCCTATGAAGCCAAGTAGGCAAACCACGTACCGTAGAAACTCTCAGGTGCCCGATCGGTACCGAACATGGGAAAGAAGCAGTGACCTGCACATAGCTTTGTCCTGTCCGGGCACCAGAACAAATAGCTTACCGACCGTGGTCGCGAATGTCGCGAATTGGACAAGTTCTTCGCATTATCCATATTGGAGCAAGGCTTGTCAAGAAAACACAGTTCGGGATTTACAGTACTGTATGCGTACCTGACATCGGACACTCGGAAGTAACTTGCTTTTCTCCGAAGATTGGGGTCTTTGCATGCCGGCTTGTCAAGGCAAAAGGCAGCTGAATAAGTCTCCTATGCTTATCAAGCGCCCCAAGAAAACATCCCCAAGGGTCCAAAAGGGACAATTTCCACAGCGAGCTCCAGGGCATCAAGCTTTCCCCTCCCACCTTACTTTGAAAGGGCGCGTGGCGTGAGGCGATTTGCTTGCTGGTTTCCCAGTCCCATCATCTTCCATACGCCTTTCATCGGCCATCCACTTCCAACAAGTTGGGGGGAGACGTTAAGGCCCCCCTACCTCCAGAAAGGTTCTCACAAGCCTTCTACGAACTCAAACGGTCCTTTCCTGGCAGGGTGCGGGCTTCCTCCCTAAGGCTTCCGCCCCCTCCCTGCCATCTCCCAGCCCCAACTTCCCAGCCCCGGTCGCCTCCTCCTGGGCCTCCCGCTCGGCTTCCCGCGCCTCAGGCGAGCCGGACTCTGACCGCCGGTCTGGCCCCTGTCGCGTGGTCTGCCAAGGTTGGTGGCAAAATCCCACCAATTGCCAAGGTAGAACGCACTAGTATCAGGAACGAAATACTGAAAAATAAAAAAACTTTCTTTGGGGCCTCCGAGACCAGCCCAAATCTGCACGGCACCACCATCAAAGTAGGATCAAAACGCAAACCAGAAACGCAGATGACTGGCTGGTCTTGCAAACACCTCACATGAAGGCCAAGCGTGCAAAGCCTTGCCATGCCTCCTTTCACATTAGCTTTCAGGTCACACCCGATGTGGAACGATTGCAACTAAAGCATCACCGCCAGCAACTTTTCAAGCAATATGCCTCCAACACATCACACGCACAATCTGCCGTCCCGGACTGTACTGATCGGCTCACCGCCTCCGCAACAAACGACTGGCTCAGCTTGCAAACACCTCACATGAAGGTCAAGCGTGGCAAAGCCTCGCCATGCCTCCTTTCGGATTAGCTTTCAGGTCACACCCGATGTGGAACGATTGGAACTATTACATCACCGCCAGCAACTGTTCAATCAATACGCATCCAACACGTCACAAGCTGAATTCTGCCGTCGCGGACTCTACTGATTGGCTCACCGCCTCCGCAACAAACGACTGGCTCAGCTTGCAAACACCTCACATGAAGGTCAAGCGTGGCAAAGCCTCGCCATGCCTCCTTTCGGATTAGCTTTCAGGTCACACCCGATGTGGAACGATTGGAACTATTACATCACCGCCAGCAACTGTTCAATCAATACGCATCCAACACGTCACAAGCTGAATTCTGCCGTCGCGGACTCTACTGATTGGCTCACCGCCTCCGCAACAAACGACTGGCTCAGCTTGCAAACACCTCACATGAAGGTCAAGCGTGGCAAAGCCTCGCCATGCCTCCTTTCGGATTAGCTTTCAGGTCACACCCGATGTGGAACGATTGGAACTATTACATCACCGCCAGCAACTGTTCAATCAATATGCATCCAACACGTCACAAGCTGAATTCTGCCGTCGCGAACTCTACTGATTGGCTCACCGCCTCCGCAACAAACGACTGGCTCAGCTTGCAAACACCTCACATGAAGGTCAAGCGTGGCAAAGCCTCGCCATGCCTCCTTTCGGATTAGCTTTCAGGTCACACCCGATGTGGAACGATTGGTCACCGCCAGCAACTGTTCAATCAATACGCATCCAACACGTTCGCGGACTCTACTGATTGGCTCAGCAACAAACGACTGGCTCGCCAAGCAAACATGTTCGGAAGGTCACGAATGGCAGCAACAACCATCGCAAGCTGAATTCTGCCGTCGCGAACTCTACTGATTGGCTCACCGCCTCCGCAACAAACGACTGGCTCAGCTTGCAAACACCTCACATGAAGGTCAAGCGTGGCAAAGCCTCGCCATGCCTCCTTTCGGATTAGCTTTCAGGTCACACCCGATGTGGAACGATTGGAACTATTACATCACCGCCAGCAACTGTTCAATCAATATGCATCCAACACGTCACAAGCTGAATCTGCCGTCGCGGACTCTACTGATTGGCTCACCGCCTCCGCAACAAACGACTGGCTCAGCTTGCAAACACCTCACATGAAGGTCAAGCGTGGCAAACTCAATTCTGCCGTCGCGGACTCGCTGCGTCCTAGTTATGCGGGAACGTCATGACAAGCTCTTTCAGTCAAGTCATGGTCTTGGCTCAGGTATTGGGTGACCTCATGACAGGCCAAAGCCCTTTTCGGACATTCTCTTTCAGTCTTCACCCGAAGCGGAACGATTAAAACCCTGATCCTCACAGCCCACATCCGGTGCCAGCTCGCACCCATTTCCCAACATCACCATCGATCAAGTCATGGTCTTGGCTCAGGTATTGGGTGACCTCATGACAGGCCAAAGCCCTTTTCGGAGATTCTCTTTCAGTCTTCACCCGAAGCGGAACGATTAAAACTCTGATCCTTACAGCCCACATCCGGTGCCAGCTCGCACCCATTTCCCAACATCGGCTTCGGTAACGTCATGGTCTTGTCTCAGGTATTGGGTGACCTCATGACAGGCCAAAGCACTTTTCGGAGATTCTCTTTCAGTCTTCACCCGAAGCGGAACGATTGAACCCTGATCCTCACGGCCCACATCCGGTGCCAGCTCGCACCCATTTCCAAACATCAATCTCGGTCAAGTCATGGTCTTGGCTCAGGTATTGGGTGACCTCATGACAGGCCAAAGCCCTTATCGGAGATTCTCTCTCAGTCTTCACCCGAAGCGGAACGATTAAAACCCTGATCCTCACAGCCCACATCCGGTGCCAGCTCGCACCCATTTCCCAACATCACCATCGATCAAGTCATGGTCTTGGCTCAGGTATTGGGTGACCTCATAACAGGCCAAAGCCCTTATCGGAGATTCTCTTTCAGTCTTCACCCGAAGCGGAACGATTAAACCCTGATCCTCACGGCCATCATCCGGTGCCAGCTCGCACCCATTTCCCAACATCACCATCGGTCAAATCATGGTCTTGGCTCAGGTATTGGGTGACCTCATGACAGGCCAAAGCCCTTATCGGAGATTCTCTCTCAGTCTTCACCCGAAGCGGAACGATTAAAACCCTGATCCTCACAGCCCACATCCGGTGCCAGCTCGCACCCATTTCCCAACATCACCATCGATCAAGTCATGGTCTTGGCTCAGGTATTGGGTGACCTCATAACAGGCCAAAGCCCTTATCGGAGATTCTCTTTCAGTCTTCACCCGAAGCGGAACGATTAAACCCTGATCCTCACGGCCCTCATCCGGTGCCACCTCGCACCCATTTCCCAACATCACCATGGGTCAAATCATGGTCTTGGCTCATGTATTGGGTGACCTCATGACAGGCCAAAGCCCTTATCGGAGATTCTCTCTCAGTCTTCACCCGAAGCGGAACGATTAAAACCCTGATCCTCACAGCCCACATCCCGTGCCAGCTCGCACCCATTTCCCAACATCACCATCGATCAAGTCATGGTCTTGGCTCAGGTATTGGGTGACCTCATGACAAGCGGCCAAGGCCCTTTTCGGACATTCTCTTTCAGTCTTCACCCGAAGCGGAACGTTTAAAACCATTTAAAACCCTGATACTCACAGCCCACATCCCGTGCCAGCTCGCACCCATTTCCCAACATCACCATCGGTCAAGTCATAGTCTTGGCTCAGGTATTGGGTGACCTCATGACAGGCCAACGCCCTTATCGGAGATTCTCTCTCAGTCTTCACCCGAAGCGGAACGATTAAAACCCTGATCCTCACAGCCCACATCCGGTGCCAGCTCGCACCCATTTCCCAACATCACCATCGATCAAGTCATGGTCTTGGCTCAGGTATTGGGTGACCTCATGACAGGCCAAAGCCCTTTTCGGAGATTCTCTTTCAGTCTTCACCCGAAGCGGAACGATTGAACCCTGATCCTCACGGCCCACATCCGGTGCCAGCTCGCACCCATTTCCAAACATCAATCTCAGTCAAGTCATGGTCTTGGCTCAGGTATTGGGTGACCTCATGACAGGCCAAAGCCCTTATCGGAGATTCTCTTTCAGTCTTCACCCGAAGCGGAACGATTGAACCCTGATCCTCACGGCCCACATCCGGTGCCAGCTCGCACCCATTTCAAAACATCAATCTCAGTCAAGTCATGGTCTTGGCTCAGGTATTGGGTGACCTCATGACAGGCCAAAGCCCTTTTCGGAGATTCTCTCTCAGTCTTCACCCGAAGCGGAACGATTAAAACATTGATCCTCACAGCCCACATCCCGTGCCAGCTCGCACCGGCTCGCACCCATTTCCCAACAGCACCATCGATCAAGTCATGGTCTTGGCTCAGGTATTGGGTGACCTCATGACAGGCCAAAGCCCTTTTCGGAGATTCTCTTTCAGTCTTCACCCGAAGCGGAACGATTAAAACCCTGATCCTCACAGCCCACATCCCGTGCCAGCTGGCACCCATTTCCCAACAGCACCATCGATCAAGTCATGGTCTTGGCTCAGGTATTGGGTGACCTCATAACAGGCCAAAGCCCTTATCGGAGATTCTCTTTCAGTCTTCACCCGAAGCGGAACGATTAAAACCCTGATCCTCACAGCCCACATCCCGTGCCAGCTCGCACCCATTTCCCAACATCACCATCGGAACGTTTCCGAGGTGCACGTTGCGGGACTTTGCAGGGTGGTCGCTGGGGTCCGGGAGTTGGTTGCTTTTGAACGGTAAACTCGCTCCTTCCTTTGATGAAGCTTGAGGGCCCAAGGACCTGCTCCTTTTGTTTTCCCTGTAAAACCCCTATAAGCAAGGGTAGCCAAGAAGAGTGGCTTCCTTGGTTTCCCCGTAAAACCCATACGGCGCCTCATTCTCCGCCTGCATCTTGCGCTGCAGCTGGCGCTGAGCCTTTTCCGCCTGCCGCACCTGAGGTGAGGTGAAAAACGCGAAAAGGATGGTGTAATTCGGGGGCATTCCGACTCATGCCATACAAAAGCAAGTCTTCAACAGCAAGGGTTCTGGGTTGTCTTTTTTTAAGGAAACCAAGAGGAAGACCAGTTGTGTGGGGTCCGAATCCCTATTTTGACACACCCAAGTTGCTGCCAGGGGGGAGAGCCTTCAGAAGATGCGGGTTAAAAGGGCATTCATGTGACTTTCCACGTCCATTGCGCAGGGGTCTGGACACAAACACATGGTACAATTGCCTCTCTCTGGGTGCTATCTCAATTGGACCAGGTAATCGAACCTTAAATGCCCAGCCCCGTGCAGCCCGCATCATCTTTGCCGAGCCGCTCGGCCCCGGAGTTCGGTGTGCTGCCCTGGCTCGCACCTTCGAACTGATCCCACCACCCCCAACCCAACCCTCCCAGACACCGGTCTCCCTGCGTTCTCCACAGAGAAGCTTGGGGCCTGAAGGGATTTCTTGAAGTTCCAAAGCCCCACAAAGTCACATGCATTTTGGTGTCTTCGATGACTACCCACAATACCAGCTTTCTTTCTCCTCAAGAAGCCCAACCAGTTTTGGGGCTTCTTGTCCCAAAAGAAAATGCGCTTTTCCCGAAGCCCGCCACCCTCCGACTATTCATGTCGGAGGGTGCCGAACATTTCCAGCGCCTCTCCGCTCCCGAAGCTGCCTTCGCCTGCACGCTTTGGGAGGTGGGCTTGGGAACTTCCCTCTAGGTCCTCCGAATAAGTTGGTACCAACTTTTTTTCGGTAGGCTATTTTAGTAGGGGAACCCTCCCAACCAAAAGGGGTGAGAAAGGGCACTGCGGGACCTAGCCCTCCTTAGAAGACACAAGCAACTCTAAGAGGCTAGCGTCCGTCTCTGTCAACCCAGTGCCCAAATGAGTCCACCTCTGAATTTTCAGAGTTGCTGATCATTTGCCTAAGCCAAGACAACCCAAGTTCCCTCAAAGGGGCATGGGGAGTTTAAGATTCCTTTTGGGATTAATTCAGCTGGGCCTGTGACAGCCGAAGGATCAAGCCAACCTTTCCGGCAACTCTGGGCATTGGAGCCATATAGCCCCCAGTGAACACATCCGATTCAATCCAACCACTAAAATGGGTTCTAAAATGGGTGGTGCACAAATCCCCCGAAATGGGATCCCATTGGTTTTGACCCACTGCCATATCAGTAACTTACTTGAATGCGCTCCATAGGCAAGAAAAACTCAGAGGAGCCCCTTCAACCTCATATGGGTGTGGGTCAACATTCTGGTGTGGAACGTTCCGCGGTGACGCGGACGTCTGGAACGAGTCAGTTACGCAAGGTCGCTTGCTCCGGACCTCTGGGAGGACATGCGTGGAGTCCTCAAGCGCACGTTCATTTAGAGTAAGATGGATAGATGGATGGATGAATGGATGGATGGGTAGATGGATGGATGAAACGACTAGGGGCGCGCCGCCATCGTTGCCACCCTCGCGTCATTGGGACACCGATGCGCTGTAGTCACGCCCGCCACGCGCGCCAGCCGATGCACAAGGCTGGGAGGCGTAAGCCGATGTCCACCGATGCGCAAGCCGATGCAGGGTATCCTTCAAAGACTTCTTTGTCTCCAAAGCCCTGGCACATGTCGTCCTTGAAGGCTTCTTGGGTGGCGGGCCACGTAAGAAGCGCAGCTACTTACATGGCGCATGTGTGTGCATGTGGACTGGTGGCAAATTGCTCCGCTGCGTCTGGAACACGTCTGGAACGGGTCTGGAACGGGGTCTGGAACGGTTACGCGAGTGGCTTGCACTTTGGAATGCTAGCAAGCCGCATGTAAACATGGTCGTTTCAACCAAGAACGGTGTCGAACCGTTACCGTATCGTATCGAAAGCGGCGGAATTGTATCGCACCGAACCGAACCAAAGTTCCGGAACACCGATACTCCTTTCTTCATTCTTTTATCCTTCTTTCTTGCTCCTTTGCTCCTTCTTTCTTGCTCCACGCCATTTCAGCCTTGGCCATTGCACTTGCACACCCGACAAAGAACGACCATCTGAATCAATACTCTAGAAATAAATGTACATAAACAAGGTCTGGAACGGAAGGTCTGGAACATGTTTCTAGGCAAGGTCTGGAACGGAGGTCTGGAACGGAGGTCTGGATCGCATGTGGGTTCCGGACCCTGTTCCGGACCTTACAAATTGACTCGCAGCCATATGATGCCGCGAGGAAGCTGCGGTGGACAATCTGGCTGTGGCTCAAAAAAAAAGGTACCCAAAATGGCCCCTAGGTAACAGGGATCCTTACATTATACACCTGAACATTGCCTTGTAAATGGCGGTGTGCCTTTATGTTGGTGGAAAAAAACATGTTTCAAATGGGCAAAATGTATCTTTTAAGGAGCCCTGATAAAAGTAGAGGCAAATGGAAACAAAGACCAAGACCTGCGTTTTGCCCTAGCTCTTGAATTTTGAGCCACACCCATATTGCTTCTCCTTCTCGTTCTCGTTGGAATGACCCATTAGAATTGCGCTTCCATCCTCGCGATGTCTCAAGCTTCAGGGAAGGTTCTGGTCCATGCGCAAACCCCTCAAGCTGCTCCACCGAGAACCAGCCCAGCGGGTTCACAGCATGTTTCGCCGAGAGGCAATTCGCAGCCATGTCAGCGCAGGTTCGAACAAAACTCCCTCGATGCGTTAGCATTGAAGAAACAAGGATTGGCCAACCAGGTCAGAGTCTAAACATGTCCTTAAGTGGTCTTCCCTAAAAGCATCAAGTCCAAGTTTGTTTGGGCGTGATTTTTCAGGAAGGCCTACCCTGGCACCGGGCTTTTTGAATCACTGCAGCCAACACCTCTGCGTTCATGGTTTCTTGGCTAACCTCACCGCACTCAAGTCTGAGTTTGGCCGGTGCTACCTGCCAAGCAAAACAATAGGAAACTAAACCAAGCTTCTTACCAAGGCTGGCTCTCTCCCCGATGTCTCGCTTCGGGGCTCAGGCTCCCCTTTTCGTTTCCTGATTGAACCCAACAAGGGTACCAAAATGCGTATGTATGTCTCAAAATAAGGAGTGCTCTCTCAAGTGGTTTTTTTACTTCATTTTGCAGTCCCTTCAAATCCAGCCAAACAACGAACACCAACGGGAAACCAACCACTTGAAGGGGGCTCAAGCCATTTTCGAGTTGCTCCCAAATGAAACCCTTTTTGGAAGCTTGTAAGGCAAAAGCAAGAGAACACTTACTACTTGGAACTCCTAACAAATCCAAGAAAGTCTTCCCCAAGAGAGCCAGGTGCACCACTCTTGTAGTCCCTTCTTTGAAGCCACCAGCGCCCAGCCGCCCAGCCGCCCAGCCGCCCAGCCGCCCAGCCGCCCAGCCGCCCAGCCGCCCAGCCGCCCAGCCTCCTCCACACTCTTGCCTGCAACATCGGCCAGCAACAACACCACCCGGCAGCCCCCAATGGGAGGGGGGGGGGGTTCCTTCGTTGCTCTTCGACCCCCGCCCCCCGGTGATTGGGCTCCAATGGGGTTGGAAAAAGCAGTGGGTTTGTCAGGTCCTTTGGTTTCAAAGGAACCAAACCAATCCCAAAAGAAGTACCTTCAACAAAACGATCCCCCCCTCCCCGCGCAGAACAGTAGACTTCTACAATCACCTGTAAAAGCAAACACAAAATGCAAACACTAGGCCTTGGCTGTGGGGAAAAGACCTTTTTGTCATACCAGCGTGGGACGTCCCGATGACCACTTCATGACTTGGGAGGCGACTTTGGCATCAATCAAAGTTCGCCAAGTCCCTGAAACCCTGGGGTCCGCTGGAAAAATCAACCATTGGCTTGAAGTCAACCGTGCTTTGGGACCATCTTGGCAAGCAAGAGTCCCAAAACAAACAACTGCACCAGCTCTGGCCGGCCTCGCGTCTCCACCAGCCGCAAAAGCTGCCTGCGGAGGGTCTCCTGGCCGATGCAGCATCGAAGTGTCAAAGTGGACTCGTGGGCAAATCTGTCTTTCCATCATAAGTAGGCCATGCCCACCTTGGTATCACAGACTAGGAAACTGCCATGGTTTACTGGGTGTTGCATATGGGGTCTGGAACAACGGACGAATTCCCATCCACCTATGTTAATTTAAAAGAGGCTCAAGTCGAAATTGACATCCAACAAAGCAACATTACATGCTCTCCACCTGGCTTGCCAGAAAAAAAAGGGGACAAAAAACAAACAAAAAACAAGGAACACACAAAGAAAAAGAAACCCCAAAAAAACATTAACAAAAAAACAAAACACGCCCGTTCGATCGGCCGGCTGCCCCGCCTCGCTCGCATCCAGGTCCTGGTCTTTTTTTAACGAAGGAGCCGAAGGTCGGTAAACTTCGTGGGCCGTAGGTCGAGCGGAAAGGCCGAATTTGCTTGAGCCCAAGAACCAACTTGTTCTGGGTTTCATGGAAAAAGCCGAATTTGTTTCCGAAAGGTGGAAGCAACCTTTTCATGGGAAAGCCGAATTGGTTTCAGCCAAAGGACCAACATGTTCATGGGAAAGATGAAATTGATTCCGAAAGGTGGAAGGATTTTTTGGCGATTCGACACACCAAAGAGCAGGCAAAGACCCAGCAGTCGTTGGAGCCAATCCTGTTGCAACCCAGAAACTTGGGAACTTGGCCTGGAACCAAGGGCTAAGCCGAGCGATTTTCTGTGGTGTCGTCTTCAAGCAAGGAGAATGAAGGCATGCGGATCCCCGCTCGAAGCGGGGCCAAAGCAGGTCATATCTGAACGAAGGTTGCTGCGCTTCCGTTTGGTTTTCGCTGGGCCAAGCCTTTCGCGGCTTTGCGCTCAAAGACCGCTGAGCCCTTCAAGGGTTGCAAGGGTACACAACAAGAGGCCGGTTCTTTAAACTGGTTACACCAGGTGGGCCAGCCGCTGTACCAAGCTGCTGAAGGCCAGCTTTTGGTCAATGGGGCTTCTGGGAAGCCGTTGCTCTTGTTGGTTTAAAGGCAAGCCCAGGACGAACGACTCGGGGTCGCTCACTTCCACACCGGGGCAAGTATGCCTTGGATTTCCCTTCGTCTCAAGAGTCATTCATGCTACCTTTCATTTGACCCAAGGGGTAAGTGGGTTGCACTCAACTCGAGCTACATATGGAGGGACATCAGCCAGATGTCTCAAGACCCAAAGCAAAAACACAGAACGGCGGTGTCTTTGTAGCGCGAAAGCGCCCGAGCAAGGGCTGCAAGAACTTCTTTCAGATCTGATTGAAGGGTTTTGAGAACTCCGTCATGCTGCTTCCCTGATTTGGGACATCCTCATATGAGCGGCACCCAAATCCAGCAAGCCAAGTATGAGAAGAAGAAAAAAAGGCAGACCATTGCTGCCGGTCTACACATTCCCCTTTTCAAGTCCTTGAAGTGCCCCTTGCCGCAAAAAAACAACAACAACCAACCTGCCTGGCTGTTACCCCATGTTCCATTGTTCCCTGTTTTGCTTTGCACTCCCAGGTTGAGAAAAAAAAAGAAAAAAAAACATCGCCTTGTACCACCCCCCCCCTTGCGCCCACAAAAAAAACGTCGACCCACCTCTCCCAGGGCTTCGGAGCAGCGCTGCGCGATCCACCTGAGCTCGCTGGAAACAGCTTCAGATGCCCAGTGGATTTTCATGGGGCAAGAAGGGCCTCCTTTCTTTGAGTTGGTTGAAGGGGAACCTGTCCCAAAAAAAGGAAAAAAGGGGCACCACTCCCACGTTGCCATGGCACCTAGAGGGTCCATGCCTCCAAGAGGACACAGATCTCCCCTCTCCGTGACACCTAAAAAGTCCTTCCAAGAGAGGAAACTCATTTTCTTCCAGATACCCTCCCACAGGTGCCATGTTAGTGGGAGGAAGGGTAGAATGGCGAGACATGCGATGAAATTGCTGGGTGACATTGCTCGTCAAGAACTTGTTGGCCCCTTTTCTGCGAGGGGCGCGAGGGGAGGGGGAGGCGCCAAGATCGAAGGCACAATTCACCCACACTTACCCCAGCCGAACGTTGACTCATCACATGTGCACTAGGGAGTCACAGGCTTGTAGGAGATAAACAAACCACCTCATGCCGATGATCCCCCATATGAAAGGAATCTTCATCAAGGGCAAGGTGGCCCCCCCTGGATACGATTTCAATGGGAAGCCCGGCCAAGACATGGAAAAACACATGCCGCGCAGGAGGGCATTTGTACTGGCACAATGCGTCACGCACGTAGACAAAAGCTGCGCAGCATCTGGCAAACTTGGTGGAGTCGAGCACTTTCAACCATGATCCTGTATCGCTGGTTCAACCCTCTGCTCCAGAGCAACAAAGCTTGATATTAGGTACAATAAATTTGCCAGAGCAGTGAACTATAGTTTGTAGAGCAGTCATTGTCAAATGAACTCATGCGGCAGGAGGGAGGGTTCACATCTTGTGTGAAACAAAGCCCATTGGAGGTTCGGTTTGCAGCATGGGTTTGCTTTCACCGGGACATGGGTTTTCTTAAGGATGGCCATTTCGGGGGACAAAATGAAGCTTCATGTTGATTTCCACTTAGCCTGCAACCTCACGTGTTCTTTGACCCAAGGGCTTGGACACTTCTTCGGCTTACCTCACAACCGGGAAGCACGAGGACGCCTGAGACCTCGTTGTCATCCCCATGAACCGCACCCGCGCGCCTCCTCCTGGTTAAGAATGCTCTGGCGTTTAAGCATCCTTTTGCTTTCCCCTTAAAGGTGGTCAGGGTATGAGGGATTGAACGCAGCGTGCCCCGGCCCTGTATCTCCCTTTTCAACTGGTTTAAAAAGCACTGGCCACTGCACTCCTGTCTCTTTCCTATTGGTGTGATGTTTGAAGGGCCCCCTACCCAACCCACACGCAGCGACCCAATGGGCTGGCTGAGGTCTTCGCTTCACGAGCTCCCGGTGTTGCCTCGACTCGCTAGCATTCGCGCATCGAGCGCCCTCACCAGGCGTCGCCTTTAAAAGTTCCAAATTGGGGGGCTCCGCGCTGGAGGGAACTTGGATGTTCAACCAACTTGGCAAGCTGACTTGGGTTTGTTCCCCTGGCAACCATGGTCAGATTCTACTGGTTGAACACAGGAAAACCAAACATGTCCTTGAGGAACTCGATCTTTGGACTGACGCATGTTTTGCTATCAGCTGTACGGGGTTGGAACACCCTCAAGAATGGCCGGTGGCTACCCTGCGAATGATGTCTTGGTATTGCCCAAACAAGGGGACCACTGTTGGTGGAATTGAAGGGAAACAAAAGGACGCACAACACATCTATTTCAAAACGTACGTCAATTGCTCAGTGGCTGAGGGGGTTTGGGGAAGAGTTGAAAGGCCCCCAGATGTTAGAGGTGCAAAAGGAATGCCACTGAACATGAATGAATTTTCGGGCGTCGCTGCTTGGGAACCTTTCAGAACCTTGACCAGTGAGCTGCATTTCCATGTGCAGTGGGTAACCAAGGGAACCCCAACCCTTGATTCAGGTTCATTACCTACTACTCTGGTAACTGGGATCTACATGTTTGCCAGAAGGGTCAGAGGGCATCCCCAAAAGGCTCTGCGATTTGAATTTCTCACAAGAATGGTTGCTTCTCCCTTGGTTTCGCTTGCAAACCACATAAAAGTGCACCGTCAGATTGGGTAATTGGGTCCATTAATGCGACATCCTCAAAATCAACCTCGAAATCGCCTCTTAAAGGGAAACACCCCTGAAAGGTACTGTTGAGACCCCTCAACATGTTCACTTTGTGGATGTAAGACAAAGACACTCCCAATACTTCCTGTCTTGCCGAGATGTCTTTGCCGAGATGCTGCAACGCTTCCTCCATACTGGACTTGGCCTGCCGCGTGACTGGGCTTTGTTTCAACTTTCATGGAACCGCGAAGGGTCCCCTTTGTAGGAAATTGTCCAAGCCAGGAGGCTCCAGTCATGCTGCATGTGTTAGCGGGTGAGAGCTTGCCGCTTTTGGTGTTGGCTTGGAGGGGAAAGCGCAAAAACCGGAGGGCGAAAGCGGGGCATGACTTACAGCGACAGGACAGAGCGAACTCACTTCAACCTTTGAAGTGCAACCGGCTAAAGTAGGGCACCGGAAATGCTGGTCCGATTCTGCTAAATGGAATTTTGTCTCTTTTGGTCGGCCTCTGACTATTCATGCCCTGCACGCCTGGCACATCTCTCGATAATATCAAAATTGACTACAACCCACAAGCGACCACCCACACGCGACCTTTTTTCTCATTGGGCTTTTGAGAGTCCGTTGAGGAAAATGGAGGGTGGTCCAAGATGAGCCCTTCCCCGTGGATTCCAGATGACGTTCTGCGAGGCCGAGAATGGTCGTTCTCTGCCCACAACCCGGAAAGGACCTACAAGAGTGCTGTTGGTTTTGGCTCAAGTGATGCAGAGAAACAAACTGGGGTGCGCAGCCCCTTTCAACTTGGATAACAGGGGCTGGTTGTGGTAACCTATTTGCTAAGCGGGTGACAAATTCCGGCACCAAAGCCAAGTTCGCCAGCCGTCCAGGGATGTCCCTCGCACCTCCGTTGAGACCCCGCAGATATGAGACAAAAGCAACAAGAGGAAACTCCATTTTGCAGACCCTGTTTGGGTTCCATGTTACTTGGGTACTTGAGCAAAGAAACAAAACTGGGTCGGGTGATGACCGACATGCCAGAAGGCAAGGCCACGTGAATCCGTCCTTGCCGGTTCATCGGGATACGTTCGTCCTTTTCGGAGCGACCAGATTTGTTCAACGTTTCTTTCCTCAACTGCGGTGTGTGTACTTGCCAAGTGTGAGGGCATGGCTTTGGGAAACTGGGAAACTCTTTCTGCGATAATGAACGTTTGGTCTAGTAGGGTTCCCATCCCTTTGCTCCTTTGCCACTTCGAAGACGAGTTCAGTTGTGGGACCCAGCCCCTGATTTCCCCGCAACAGGGGCAACCTGGCCTGTAAAAAGCAAGTCATTGACGGCGATTGGTGGATTGGGGCCAGGCAACCGGTTGGAAACCAAATAAAGGTATGAAACCTGCGAGCTCGGGGCCGGTCCAACTCTCTCTCTCTCTCTCTCTCACCCGCTTCAAATACGTGTGGCCCTTCCTAAAGTTCTTTATCCCCTTCCTTACTGTCTTATTTCCGTGTGCTTTTTTTTGGATAGCCCTGGTTTGGTTGAAGGGAAACCAAAAAGAACAACCACTTTCAGGGTTCCCTCAGTACACCAACCCATGGTCCTCCTCCAAACGTCAGCAGGTGGCACGGGTTGGACGAAACAGTTTCGCCGCGTATCGCGTATCTTCGAGCAAAGAACGCATACTCGCCGCGCGGGAATTCAAGGACTCTTGAATAAAAAGCCTTCATCACGGTGCCGACACTGGATCCGAAGCAACTCGCTTGACTAACAAGGAGGTGTCCCATTAATACGACCCCAGTTTTGTTTGGAGGGAAGCCGATGCCCCTTTTCAGAATGAAGCCTTATTTGTTCCGGGGAAAACACCTGCCTATTGCACCAGGGTGAAAGTACAGCTTGTCTTGACAGGGGGATGCTTTAAGACCAACTAGCCCCCAATAAGGGTACTTCAAGGAAGGGCACACACCCATACAAACATATATAATATATATATATATATATAAAAACTATGTGTAGAGATTCATTTCTATATTGCGCCATCTGAATCTACTTGCACCCAACTTTAATCCCCGTGCTAAACCTGCGCAACCAAGACTTGCAGAAACCAAAGGCCGCAGCGAGACATCGCGTTGATCGGCCAAACCGCGCCTGAGCCTCGCGGCGGCGCGAGTCGGACCTGGGCGTCGCCCCACCCCAAGCCTGGGACCTGAGAGTCAGTTTGCTTGCAATTGGTGGAGAGGTGTCCTATTTACCCTCAAGAACCAGGGGTTCAAGTCCGAATCCACCGATCCAAACCGCCAACTGAGAGTTATCTGAGGAAAAGGGGGCCGTTGGGTCCAAAATGTGTATGTTCACCGTCACAAAGTTGGTCTTCAAGTCTCCACAAAACATTGACGCACTTCATGAGTGGATGGGCAAACAACAGGTCCAGACGTGTTTCCCCACGAAATGCTCTCAAGAAGTGTCTAAAGTCACGTCCCCCTAAACATGCGAACCAAACCGCTTTGCTTCCAGCAGCCCACTCAAAATGAGCGGAACCTAAATTAAGCACCGCCCACTCAAACATGAACCGAACCATACATCTCAAACAAAAACACAAAAAACTTGAAGAACAAAAACAAAAAAAACTAGCAACCCCACTGAAACATGAACCGAACCATAGGTTTCAAAAAGCCTAAGGAACCCTGGCGACGGTGAAGGAGAATTCCCCAAGCTCCGGCCTGGTGAGCTCCAAACGGAGGACCTCCACCTACCAGGCACAGCTCGAAGAAATGCGAGGGACACCAAACCTCGAACTTGGGGCTTCGTCTTTTAGGGGCCCTGTCCCAAAATTGCGGTTTCCCTTTTGGTTGTTTATTGGAAACTGGGCTCCCTCAAAGAAGATAGTTTCCTCTGGGCAACTTACCACAAGTCTCTAGTAAAGGCCCTTCAACACGGGATTAATTGCCAATTTTACTCCCGGATCGGTGGGCTCGTTGCGATTTGTCCAGAGTCCAAGGAAAGTTTGTTTACCTGCCCGAGTCTTGTAAGCCCTTTACCAGCTCACGAAACGCATGTACCTTCGCCCTGTGTCAGCAAATTGTTACATCCACAGGATGGCCTTCAATCTTCCTGACTGGCCAAAACATGTCCAAACTGCTTATTTGCCATGGTCTTCCTAAAAAGTATTCTGTTTGGCGAAATGAGTTTAATTGTTATAACAATAAGCATGGCATTTACACCGATGCTTGCTATATTTGAAGTTTTTGGAGTAAAAAATGGCTATACAGATATAAGTGCTAATGAGGTAATTAGGTATACTACTGAAGATTTAGCAAATCATATAATTATGGTTGGAGTGAGATGGAGGATCAACATGTTGTTGGGCTATGCTTACTGTCAACAAGGCCTCCCCCGTGCTTTCCTGGCACGGGTTCAAATCTCAGAAGCCGAGTGGCCGGGGAAGCAAGGGCCATTTTCTGGCTGATTTCAACGGGAAACCCTTCCCCAAAGAGTTAAAACTGGGCAAAGGGGAAGGAAAGGGTTGGCACTCGGCTGGGGAAGGTGGAATCAAGGGTGTAAACAAGGGTTGAAACAAAGGTGGAGCCCACTCAACTGCCTGCAGCCCCAAAAGGCTGTTTTTGTTTCCCCTTTCTTATTCCCCCGGTCAAAAGGCGTTGCCCGGAGAAAAAAACAAGTCATTCGGGCAAATACGTATTTCTTCGCTTTCTTCAATACTTCATCCACATGATACGGTCAGACACGGGCAAATATGGCAAATGACAGAAACAAAACATACGTTCGTGCAAAAAAAGGTCCAGATACGCCTTTTGACCGAGAAAAAACAAAACACAAACACATGAAATGGCCTTTCGGGGCGCCAGCTGGGCAAAGCTCAGAGACAATTCGCTACTCGTGTTAAGCCCCTAGCATCCCAAAATAGGACGGTCCCCAAAAGGTCTCTGCCTCCTTGTGGTTTCCCTTTAAAACCACCTCTAGTGGGTACCAACTCCAAACACAAGCACACCTGTGTCATATAGAATAATACAGAGCAAAAGAAAAAAGATCAAGCTAAACCAGGCGACAGCGCATGCCTTAATATGTTCATGCCTTCATATCAGCATGTCATAGCGACTGAGGAGCTAGGTACGTCGTTTTGCCCAAAGAATACCAAATGCGAAGGAAGGTGGCTGTCCAAAAGAGCGCACTTCCATGTTTGTCGTGGGAGGCATGTCCTTTTGGAAAAATCAAAGTGGGAACACTCAAATTTGTCGTTTTACAACTAAGCACCTAGCCCCTCTCCCTTTCGGAAAAAATGCACGTTTGCTGGAGGCGTCCAGTCCGAACAAGGAACATGCAAGGGCTGTCTTTTCCACAAGGTATGAAAGAAGCGGCAAAGCACTTGCACAAAGACCTGAACATGCCTTGCGGTTTCGAGGTTGGGGGCTTGGTTTCCATTTTTTTAGAACCAGCAAACCATAATTCCAACCCCCAGTTGGGTGCTGACCTTGTAGATCCATTAGAAAAAGCTATTGGCTATGTAGTTCCAGCCCTCTAAAAAAAGCATGGAACGGACAAGAACACGAAAAAGACAAACCTATTTACTACTCCGAATACCCATTTCTCGTAGGGAGTCTGAAAGGCCCAGATCTGAGCTACCGGAGAGGGTGGTTCCCTTGGGGTGGAACCACGTCGAATCCCCAAGACGGGACGGACCCCCTTCGGTTTCTACCGAAAAATGGGTGCGGGTCAAAATAGTTGCCCAAAATGGAACTGTGTGAATGGAAATAAGGACTAAAACCTGCGGTCCACATTCTGGTGGTTTAGTTTTGACCCACACCCCAAATGCAATTTCGCGAGTATTTAGAATCACACCAAAACGACACCTGCCAGGCACGCCTTGGTTTTTACCGACAAATGGGACCTGGGGGGCAGAACCACATCGAGACACGCCCCAAGACGGATCGATCCGCCTGGTCCACCGCGGCCATCTTCGCTTCGCTCTCGGCCTGGCACACCGAGCCAGTTTGTCCGGTGGCGCGTCGTTTTTTTTAGGAATTGAACCCGTCCCAAAACGCCGGCTTTCAACTTTGCTGCCCTCCGAAAAATCAGGTACCCCCCCAAAAGAAACAAAAAACCCTCTAACATAGTAACGAAGGGAACCACCACCTTAAAAGCCAATGAGAAAATGGCTAGATACCCACCATATTGGGAACTGGGATCCACTGGGGTAGGTAAACCAGAGGAAATTAGAGCCCAAGACTGAAAGCCACTTACCTGTAGTGGTAACTCCGAACCTCCTATGGGCGCCTGTTGTCTAGGGGAGCCCCAAAAATGATAGGTGTCCTTTTTGGGCGTCTCCTTAAAATTCCATCAATAAGCGGGCTCTCCCCAAAAAAAGACATATATGCCACCGCGTTCAGAAACAAGTTCCACCTGTGCTCCACCGCGCCGAAGCCTTTTTTTGCACTGGTGGTCGCGGACTCGCAAAGGGATTCTCATCATCAGCCGAAGAGGTCGAAGTCCATCTCTTCCTGTCCCACAGACTCTCGGTTGCTTTCTGCTCCCCTGCTAGAAGTTTAGCTTTTAGTGGTGTAATGGAAAACCCATTAGTTGGCAAACAGTTGAAGTCCTAACATCCAAGCAAAATGCACTGCTTCGATCAGCAGGGAATGGAATGATCCCTACGTTTAAAAAAAAAACACACACACACACACACACATCCCCAGCATCCCTGATTAGACTTAGGCCCAGTGATAGAAGGTATATTTGATGGTTTCCTTCACTTTGAGTCACTGGTAAAATGAAACATGTATCCTAAGTTTACCCCAGGATTTGGTTTCCTTTCAGGGAATCCAACCAACACCGGTGCATTCAACCAACACCAGGGCTCGGAAAGTCATTCCCCACTTAGCGCACCAGCAAGTACATAAACCAAACCGCAAATGGGGGCTAAACCCTCGTGGACCGTGTATTCGGAGTTTTGCTGAATCCCCTCTGGTTCCTGATGCTGTTTTGGCGAGTGTGCTCAATGTCTCCACCTGTTCTGAGGTACATGTTGCATTGGGGTATGTGGCAAGATAAGGAGGACCGGAGACCCCAAAAACTGTGGTCGTCCGTTTGGTGTCCGTTTACACCAACCTAAAAAGGATATCAAGCCTCACTTATATCATCTTCTGCTAAATCAAGTCGTTCACTCAGTGCTCTAGACAATTCAGTGAATCCACAAGGCCAGCGAGGACTCCAGCGTGTTCCAACCAATGGTTGCTTGCAGGACGTACGTCCTCTGGACTTGTTGACCGATGTTTGTGATTCAAGAAGGGTCAATTGACGGTCAAACCAAAATACATTAGGTTTGCAGGACAATTGCGGACTAAGTTTGCCCTTTGCCGCGTTTTCTTAGGGAAACAAAGAGACCGGACAGAAGCGTAGAGTCCCTCTTTCAGGGTCCCTTACTTCCTCCAAATATCTCCAAATCTTCAAGGAGAGTCAAAGGGCAACCCCTTTTTTTTTGTGAACACTCATCCGGCAACCCCTGTTTCGCAAGTCCATGTTTCGAACCTTTTTCGGATCTGAATATGCCCCTTTTCTCAGCCTGAACCACTCTCCGAGCCCCAACGCGGTTTCCGTCCTCTTCCTCCTCTTCCTCGACCTGCGCCGGGTCGCACGGAAATAACCAGAGACAAGTTTATCCTCAGTGAAGCTCGGGGCCTCCGTTTTGTCTCGGTTGCTTTCTGCTCCCCTGCTAAAAGTTTAACTTTGAGTGGTTTAATGGAGAAAAAACCCATGAGTTGGCAAAAAGTTAAAGTCCGCACATCCAAGAAAAATGCGACAAAGTTGTTGCTCACCTCAGTCAGCTTCCTTCCAATTCGTGGTTTGGATTGGTGGCTTGGTGATAGATGTGATTCGGGGGTGGGTTCTCATTTACCCTCTACAATGAACGCCGAAGTTCAAAACTGCCCATCCAAACCACCAAATAAGGGTTACCTCACTTGTAGCCAAAGAGTCTGGACAAAACAGGCCAAACCCCGTGTGGCAACTACCTTGAATTCGGGAAACCAAAGACCCCTGAAAGATAACGTTCCTCTTTTCGGTTCCATGCTTGCTTTCGGACCTTCCTTTTAAGGGCTCCATTTCCATGAGTGCATCTGATCTTCAAATCGGGATCCCCGTCCCCTTCCCAATAGCACACCCCCCCCCGGCCTGATATCAAGTGCCTCAGAAATCAGCTATCATTTGGCCTATATTTGTCTGAATCTTGGTGGGGGACATTTTAATTTAAAAAAAAGCTCCGGTGATATCCCCAACAGCATGCAGTGCTCTTTTTAGTGCTCGCACCACCTTGCAGCCCTTGCAGAACCTCGTGGAACCCGCGTGGAACCCTGGTGGAACCCTCGTGGAAGGGCCGCCCCGGACCACCCCGGAGCCTATCTGGGCTGAGACCCCAAAGCTTTCAGCTGTTGGGGAAAAACAACCTTTGTTGGACCTCATTTGGGGATTCATGTCCAT